GTAAGTCTAAGTTCAGGACCAAGTGTCCTTAACTTTTGAACTTGTAACTGTAAGTTAAGGACATCCTGTCCTTAATTTTTGAATTTGCAACTCTAACTTCAGGACCAAGTGTTCTTAATTTTTGCACTTTCACTCTAAGTTCAGGATCAATTGTCCTTAACTTATGAGCTTGTTACTCTAAGTTCAGGACATTAATTTATGAGCTTGTAAGTCCAAGTTCAGGACCAAGTGTCCTTAACTTTTGAACTTGTAACTGTAAGTTAAGGACTACCTGTCCTTAAATTTTGAATTTGCAACTCTAACTTCAGGACCAAGTGTCCTAAACTTATGACCTTGTTACTGTAAGTTCAGGACCAAGTGTCCTTAATTAGGAATTGAGGACTAACTTATAAACTTTCTAACTTTGATATTTTCAAAATTTTCAGGGGACAAACTGATATATATGCTGAGGATAATGGTGTGAGAAAGAATCCATATAAATTGTACCATCAAAAAATCAGTAGAAAAATGTTCTTCCTTGAGCTTGCAGATAGTAGCTTTGTACTTGATGATAAGGTTTGATAATTCACAAGGCATTTGTTTTCTTTCTTCTTAATTTATTATTTTTTAATTATTTATGACTGATGAATTTTTTTTCTTTTTTTGCCTTTTTATGAAGCATATTGACATTGCCCTATATTATTTGAGAAAGAAAAAATGCTACCACCCTTGCGCCCATCATTTTCGTTGCACAACTACAGATATAATTTTTGATAACTATATGCTAATTGTGTATAAGGATTTCAATGAAGATGCTTCAGATTTATTTTGGTGTGATGATAATCAGTTGGTTCTCACACCATATGTGTGGGGTGACAATCGTAGATGTGGAATTGCTTGGACAGAGGTTGACAAAATCTTTTTTCCATGTCGGCTTCCTTCAGAAGATAATGATGTTGTGACACATTTTCTTTTGGGGGTATTGGACTTGAATGAGAGAAAGATTGATGTGTACGATTCCATATATAGTGAGCCATATGAGCAAGGAATGAAACACATTGAAATATATGCACGCATGATCCCCCACTTGCTAAAGTTCTCACAGTTTGAGAAAAATCACAAGTCTTTTGGAAATGCATTCAACAAATTTGATATTCAGTGGCAAAGATCACCACACCAAACTGGATCGTACGTGTTATCATTTGCTATATAATTTATATGTATTTTAGATTTATTTTATTAAAGATATTATTTAATTGACTCCATATTTTTCTTAGGACTGATTGTGGTGCATTCCTAATCAAGTATGTGGAGTTGTTGATGATGGAAAAGGATGTGGAGAAATTCCAACCTGAGGACATATCAAACTTCAGAAAAGAACTTGCAGCAAATCTTTGGGGATATGGAGAGTGGAAAAGAAATTTTGGTTAAGATACACCACCAGAAAATGTCGGCGATGACTATGATAGTGAAAATAAAACTTCCTGCCCAAAGGAGCTGTATTGTAGTTGTAAAGAAAGTCAGCTGTAGTGAAATTGGTATAAAATTATTGTAAAAAATCCATATGAATTCTAAAATATCCTGTAAATTATCACAAGGCACTTTATTTTGTTTGTATAGTATAATTTTTTGGTCACAGCTATGCTAAATTATAGTTTCAGCAGTAATATGAAGGCATCGTGTTATTAATTTCTTTCTTTCTGTTAACTATTGATTTGTCCATTTTTTCACAGTTTTAAAGGGCCAATCTTTGATTAAATTGTCTTGAAGTTTTTAGAAATTCAAAGCAACACACATTGATTGTTGTAGAACTTCAGAATCTGTTAACTACATCCTTATTTGTTGAAGGATGAAAATAATATTCAAGACATATTTTTTTAAATGTGCTAAACTTCTCGAATATAGACAATAAATTAAGATTTCCAGAAGTTAAGGACATTTTAGAAATTTATGTCCTATATATTAGATTCATACTTCAAATGTTCAGGACGTTTCAAAAAATTATGTCCTGAAGTCTACTTGTACCAATCTCATTTTAAAAATAAGATGTAGCAAGCTGTGTTTAGCAAGCTGCAGATATCAAGTTTTATAACTACTGATTTTTTCATTTTAAATTGCCAGATTTTATTAAATCTGTAGAGATATAGCAAAAGATACATTGATTATTATAGAACTTCAGGACATTATGTTCATAAACGTTATGATTTGTTGAAGGATGAAAATAATATTTAGGACATATTTTTCTGAAATGTCCTGAACTTCTGGAAATCCAGATAATAATCTGAGATTTTCAGAAGTTAAGGACATTTTAGAAATTTATGTCCTTAATATTAGATTCATACTTGAAATTTTCAAGACTTGTAAAACATTATGTCCTTAAGTTTTACTTGTACCGATCTCATTCTAAAAATAAAGATGTAGCAAGTTGCAGGCATTAAATTATATAAAGAATAAGGATTTTCTTGTTTACTTACGGCAAGAATAAAATCCCAAAAATAATAATTGATCCGACAAAGGTAAATTAAACTCCCAGAAAAAGAAAAAGAAACAAAGAGCACGTAAGTGCAAAGAAACTTTGAAAATTTAGGACATCTTTTATATAACCATCTGCTAATATTTACTTGCTCAAATAAAAATAATCTAAATGAATCCAACTTATAGCAAAAACTTAAAAGAGTAGATAAACATAAGTGGATATATCTATTATTCTCTATGCTTCCTTGAAAATAGATGGACTGCCGGAGAATATATACAAGATGTTCTATTATGACCAATTCTTCTGCAACGACCACATTTGAATGTTATTTTTGATGATTCGGTAGCTGGAATATGGCTTTTCTTCTGCCTTCTACCTAGCGGGACTTTAAAATCTGGAGGTTTAATAATTTGTGACTTAGCACTCTCTGGTACAATCCAAGAATCCGTATGTCCTACAGGATGTATTTGTCTTTCATATGTTTTCAGGCAAGATTCCTTTAAGTACCAGTCCGAGCAGAAATTGGACTTCTTGATGTTTCTCTTCTCGATAGCTGCAATTGCATGTATACATGGTAATTCATCAAATTGAAACTGAAAACAATCACATGTTCTTTTGTTTAAGTCCACCAAGAAAGTAATTCCTTCTTCCTCAACTCTAGAACGCCATGAATCAACATGGAAGACCTTCAAAGTTGAAAAACTATAAGTTAGTACATTATGTTAAATTATCATTAAAATAATAAGCTAAAGTAAGAACATAATACTTACATTTAAAGTAAAAGCTAAATCTATCTTTTTCTTCAATTCCTCTTCTACCCAACAAGAAACGTCATAAAAAGTTCCTTCTGCTTCATTTCTTCTTTCATAAAACCAACGTCGTAGCTTCACTTGGATGAAATCCATCATTCTTAATATAGGCAACTCCCTTGCTTCTAATAGCACAGAATTCATTGACTCAACTATGTTTGTTGTGAGCATATCATATCTTCGTCGTGGATTACAAGAACGTGCCCACCTTTCCGGTGGTTCTTCCATCAAGTAGTCAAAAGTCTTCTTATCAATTTTTGCTATATCTGACATGTATAGATAAAATTCTTTGCGCCTGTATACTCTTGCAGCACTTTGGAAAAGTTTTATGATCTCACTTTTCACTTTCCTTCGCTTTAGGTTCTGCTCCAAATGATAGATACAAATCTTATGGTGGCTTTCAGGATATACCTTTGCAATGCCATGTGCAATTGATTGATGCCTGTCCGATAAAAAAATTAAATTATCACGGCTCCCAATTGCATTGCGAAGCTCACTAAAGTACCACTCATAGGAATTGTTATTTTCAGATTCTGCAATTCCAAAGGCTAGTGGGAATATTTGGTTATTTGCATCCTTTGAAACTGAAATCATTAAAACACTACGATATTTTGACTTCAAAAAAGTTGCATCAACAGCAATCGCTGGTCTACAATGATTCCAAACAGCTATTGATGATCCATATGCATAAAATATATAAAGAAACCTGAAAATACAGTTTAATAGAAGGTTAAAAATACAGGACACCAAATCCTTAACATTTACACTGCACACATCAAAGTTAAGGACATCTTGTCCTTAATATTTTCACTGCACATATCAAAGTTAAAGACACAATATCCTTAATATTTTCAGTGCACACATCAAAGTTAATGAGAACTTGTCCTTAACTTTTAGAATGCACACAGTAAAGTTAAGGACACCATGTCCTTAACCTTTACAATGCACACATCAAAGTTAAGGACACTATGTCCTTAACTTTTACAATGCACACATCAAAGTTAAGGACACCATGTCCTTAACTTTTACAATGCACACATCAAAGTTAAGGACACCATGTCCTTAAGTTTTTCACTACACACATCCAAGTTAAGGATACCATGTCCTTAATATGTTTACTGCACACATCAAAGTTAAGGACACCATGTCCTTAACATTTTTATTGCACACATCCAAGTTAAGGTCACCATGTCCTAAAGTTTATAAAACAGACTAATAAACTCTTTTTGATTGTTTACATGTTGTTGTCGTCTATCTTTATATTAGTGTATGTTCCCAGATTTTTACTTTTCATCATATACAAGTATGAAGACAATAATTCATAATTCTCTTCAGGAGTTGCTCTTATTAAAGTTGAAGCACGTTGAATAGCACGCCACGCCTTGTGATAACTAATGTCTAGTCCATGCAATTTTTGCATTTCTGCCATGACAAATGTTGGTGTAACTTCAAACCTTGGGTCTCGAAGATTGTCGATAATATAACCACTAATCAACTTTAAAGTTGTATGCCTTTGATCAGCTTTCATAGTGTTAACTGAGCAGTCGTGATTTTTCTCAATCTTTATTATCTTGAATAGTGTTGAATCTTTAATTCTAAAAGCACGCACACACCACCCACACCTATCATCATTGCATTTCAACGAATATCTTGTTGAGCTTGATCTAACAACCTTGAATTCAAAATGTTCTTTAATTGATATATTGGAAAAACAGTTAATTATACTCTTCTTTTTGTCAAATATTGATCCCACTTTTATTTCATCCAACGAAGCATTTTCTCTTAATATCGTAGTTGTGGATTCTTTTTGTTTCGAATTTGAGCTTTGTCTAGTTAGTTGAGTAAAGATTTTTTCAGCAACTTCTTCTATTACCGGTGCACTCTCTAAGACTTGAATACCCAAAGCTTGTTCGTTGTCAATCTCTATAATGCTTTGTCCTTCTACTTGAATAGAATCAAATGTTTGAAGCACCTCTTTAGTTATTGGTTGAGCTTAAACCACATCTATTTCCATTATCTGTTGGCATTTGTCTTGATTATCTTGTTGAGTTTCTGTATTGACATGTTCAAAGGTGCTTGTAGAATCAAAAACTATTTCCGAAATATCAACAATGAAACGACAGCCCTTGAAGAGTGAATGACTTTTTAGTAACTCTATACATGTGTGAAGATCTAAATCTTTGGATACAAGCATTCCCTTGTTTGTTCCCGGATTGATATCAAACCATATCATTGCTTCAAACTTGTCTCTATCCAATTCAATAACTTCAAAGACCTAGTTAATGAAATCTTCAAATCGAATTGCCTCAGGTACTAGAACAAGCTTTGTTTGATGATCAAGATACGTATAGTCTGCAGTCCATCTACCATTAAAAGCAACAATAATACATATTGTATCCATCCTGCAAGTCAAAAAAATGGAAAATTCAGGACATATTTATACAACAATCGTGAAGTTAAGGACAAGATGTCCTAAACTTTATCAATACAAGTTGCAAAACACAGGACACTATGTCCTTAATATTTAGAACAACAGTCATGAAGTTAAGGATATCATGTTCTAAACTTTATCAATACAAGTTGCAAATACAGGACACTATGTCCTTAATATTTACACAGTAGTCATGAAGTTAAGGACATCATGTCCTAAACTTTATTAGTATAGGTTGCAAAAACAGGACACTATGTCCTTAATTTTTACACAGTACTCATGAGGTTAAGGACATCATGTCCTAAACTTTATCAGTACAAGTTACAAAAACAGGATACTATGTCCTTAACTTTGATGTGTGCAGTCAAAATGTTAAGGACATGGTGTCCTTAACTTGGATGTGTGCATTGTAAAAGTTAAGGACAAGCTGTCCTTAACTTTGATGTGTGCAGTCAAAATGTTAAGGACATGGTGTCCTTAACTTGGATGTGTGCATTGTAAAAGTTAAGGACAAGCTGTCCTTAACTTTGATGTGTGCGGTGAAAATTTTAAGGACAAATTGTCCTTAACTTTGATGTGTGCAGTTTAAATGTTAAGGACAAGTTATCCTTAACTTTGATGTGTGCAGTGAAAATGTTAAGTACATGGTGTCCTTCACTTTGATGTGTGCAGTGAAAATATTAAGGACATAGTGTCCTTAATATTTAGAACAACAGTCATGAAGTTAAGGACATCGTGTCCTTAACTTTATTAATACAATTTGCAAATACAGGACACTATGTCCTTAATATTTAGAACAACAGTCATGAAGTTAAGGACATCATGTCCTTAACTTTATTAATACAAGTTGCAAAACACAGGACACTTTATCCTTAATATTTTTTAGAACAACAGTCATGTTAAGGACACCAAATCCTTAACATTATGTCCTCAATATTTACAGAACAATCACAGAGTTAAGGACGCGATGCCCTTAACGTTATCAATACAGAAAAGAAAAAAAATCAAATTCCTAGCATCTTATTCTTCAGTAACGAAATAAAAATCCACACAAACACACAAAAGCATATAGAGATATCTGAAATTTTAGAACTTACTGTAATTTTATGGTGAATTTTGGACGAGAAAGTTGAATTCTGAACTTAGACAAAAAGTTTGAAATCGGAAGAGAAGCTTCTACAATTTTGGACGATCACAATAATTCTCTGCACGTAAGTTTGAGCTGCTGCTGATCGTGAATAAGGAGCGTATGTATCAACGAAATCCTATATAGCAGAAGGGTATTTTCGTCCGGGCGGGTAAAAGTTTATTAAAGCAGTGGCTAAAGACTAAATACATTTAAAATAGTGACTTAAAAATAAATACATATGTTATTACTAGCTATCTGTGCACATCGCCCTCGTACTTATCCCATACCTTCATGCATCGTTGGGCCATCGTTGGGCCATTTGAAGAAATTTTTATAAATAAATTAACAATGAATAAAACATATATCTAGTTCTTTTCGAATTCATTGACCTTTTTGGTATTGTATTCGTTCCCTCCTGATGTAAGTGTCTTCTTCTAAGTTATTCTGTTTCCACTGTATAACTTACATTTTATTTTAAAACCATTTAGAACTTTTAGGTGGAATTCACTTTAGTATGCAAAAGATTCTTAAATTTGACTACGACCTTCGGCAAATGGTTTCTATGCCACATTGACATTTCAAAATGCATTTACGCTAATGTAAAAGGTGGAGGGTAGTATTAGAACAATTAACCTAAATAGCCGCCCACTTAACCGCACCGCATAGATTAAAATAATCGGCAAATATATACTATATGTATAATATGTATAACCATATATAATTGGCATATAATCTATGTATACCGATTAGAAAAATAAACTGTAAACCGACTATTTGTGGAAAGATCCTGCAATATTATGCACAAAAGAATTGTAACAGCAGTGCCATCAAACATCTGCTGCTGCTCTTGAGGTGATAAATTACCGCTTTTCATACAATATGGCAAAACATCTGCAATACAGAGAAGATATTATCCAGGCTTAAATTACATTTGGCTACAAAAAGATCACAAGAACACATTAGACGGTGGAAAAAGAAAAAAGGAAAGCCTAGAGACCCTTATGAACTCCCATTTGAGTGCTGGGATTGTATGATCAATCTTAATCGACCATAAGCCTCTAAACATGCATAAGAATACTCCGACATGGCTCGGAAGAGCTCAGGCAACCGGATCTTAAGACTCCCTAATGACTTCTCCCTAACTTGAATGCAGTGCTTCTGGTGCGCTTCTGTCTCCTCATCCAACCTCTTTTTCAATGCGTCCACAAGAAACTGCTTTTCTGCAACAGGATCTTTAGGATTAGACTCTGTAGCTCTATCAGGATCTGCCACATCGGGTGGAGTTCTGCGTTGCATATATTTTTGGTACCAATCTTCAAACGCTTGCCTCTTGCGTATGTACTCTTTTCTAGTTTCCTCACACTTCTCCTTCAGCTTCATCTCTTCCTCCTGATGAATAATGATGGTCCTTATCACAGCTTCAAAGGAAGCAATAGCACTTTTGGCAAGCTCATCGGGAAACTTCTCAAGAAGCTCCTGCCAGGAGTGAAGAAGGGCTTGAATCGGGGGATTCTGTGCTCGAGGAGGCGACGAGATTTTTTCTTTTAGGCTGCTCTCAATGGGTATGAGATTTAGCTTCAACCAGCTGTGGAGTGTTTGGATGTATAGTTTTTGATTTTTTACAAGGTTGTCAAAATGATCATGCCATTCCTTGACAACATTACCAAGTTGGATTGTGCGTTCATGATGGTGTTTGCTTGTTTCTAAGGGGAATCCGGAGATTTCAATGGCTTTGAGATCAGTAGCCATCTCCAGCTGGTTCTTGTGATGACTAAACATGAATTCTGACATGTTAACCATCCTGCAAAGCAGAAACAAAAGCTGATATTCACGGAAAGTAACCTCAAACAGAGATGGCAACCTCGACTATACTGCAGTTCCACGAGGGGGGGAAAAAAAGCACAAGAAGCTAAGGGATCTTCTAAAGAGCTCTTGCACTCATAATTAGCAGAGGACTTTGTAAGGGATGTAACAAATCAAGAATTAACAAAAAAAAAATTCTCTTAGAGTTGAGGGAATACTAGAAATGCTTGCAGGCACAGATCCAAGCCAAATTTTGGATTAAAAATCTTGAAACATACAGATGATAGGAAATCCATTTGTTTCTTAAAATCAGTAAACAGCATCAGGAATGTCCCAGAAAGGATATGTATGCTAATGGAGATTACTCATCTCTGAGGACAAAAGGGAGAAGACCTCTTGCTAAAATATCATAAAGTAATATACATAAGAATGCATTTAACAAAGAATTAAGCCAAAAAAGGAAGAATCAAAACTTCTAAAAAACAATCTTATTTACTAGGCTGAATGCTAAGGAAAAGTGTGCACAAAGCGAAACCATATGAATTGATATTACTAACATGAAGCAGGTCAAGGACTCACGTATACTAATATTGGTTCTACAGTAATCCACAAATTGAACAATTGTTCCACAAACAGAAACTTTCTGAGATTCATAAGTGAATTGGTGGACCAAATAGAACAGAGAAAAGAAGAGGTTTCAAAATGGTTGGGGGTCTAAAACAGGTCCGGGGTAGATATTAGACAAACATCTTACAAGTGATGGGAAACTTCAAGATTTACTTACAATTTTGTTTCTACTCAATTAGCAAAATTACCTATCATTTGGGTTTATATCTTACAGTGCATATATAAAATCATGCTCCTTCAGTTCAAAAATCAATTACACGTCCACCTGCAGCCCACCCGGGAAAAGACCTTGCTCCCTGCCTGAGGCCTAAGATGAATGTCCACACATTCTATTTTGGATTACCACAAAATAATCCCCATGTTTTTCACCATTGCAATTAATTCCCGCTTCACTCTGAAAAGGCAAATTTTCCTCTTTCTTCTTCTTTGAAAAAACGAATGGTCACTGGTTACCTACAGACACCCCACTACCGCCCTTCTTGAGTTGATATAAAAATGTGCACATTTTAACTCTCATTTTAATGCTACTATCAGGCCA